AGACCTCCAAGGAAGGGAAACCCAACACTTTTCAAGGCAGCCCATTCCACTTTTGGACAGCTTTAATTGTTAGGACATTTTCCCTGATATCAAATGTAAATTGGTCTCTTTGAAACTTCTCCCCATTATTTCTGGTTCTACTTGCTGGGGTCAAACTATACAAGTTTAATATCTTTGCTACTTGGATAACTCTTCAAAAACTTGAAGACAGCTATCACATCTCCCCCTTTAATCTTTTCTTCTCCAGGCTAAACATTCCAACTTCCTTCAACAAGTCTTCATATGATATGGACTTTTATCCTCTTGTTCTCCTAAAGTGTGGAGCACAAAGCTGAGATCTTTGATGTTTGCAGAGAACAGTGGGATTATCATCTCTACCTTCCTAGAAGTGATACCTTTCTTTATTTCTTCTAATTAAATATTTATTTTTAGTTTTCAACATTTACTTCTTTAAGATACCCCCACCCTTTTCTCCCCCCTCCCCAAGAGGGCGTGCAATCTGATATAGGCTGTACTTATACATTAATATGAAATATATTTTCACATTAGTCACGATGGATGTAAAGAAGAATTAGAACTAATGGGAAGAGCCACGAGAAAGAAGAAACAAAACAAAACGACAAAACAAAACCACCTTTCTTAATGCAGCCCTGCAGACTGTATTACCTGTTTTGTTTGCCAAAAGATCCCAAAAGAATGTTCCAGAACTGGGGAATATGTATAAACTGTACCAAATGTACTCCAGTTGATTTTCTGGGGACAGCCAGTATTTAATTTGGGGAGAAAGTATAATGAAATAGTGTTTCCACAGGAAACATACAAAACACATATAAAACAAATACACCCCATCTTCTGGACTAGAATACTTCCCATGGAGCTTTGGCACAAATGCTTTGGTTCCATTAGTGCTCTGTCTAGAGTGATGTTGGTCCCCACAACTGGGAGCTATAACAAAGAATCAGGAAGTATTGCCCACTCAGTAGAATTTATTAAAAGGAGAGGACAAAGTCTTTGCCACTCTCTACTTTTCTCTTTTGAATGGTTAGGAATTCCAATACTCCTCCCTTGGATTTTCCAATATGGGAAGAGAGGATTTCTCTTCCTCCACCTTCCCAGCAACAACTATGGTGGTTACACACACACACACACACACACACACACACACACACACAGAGTCCATGAGTATATATGTATTTCTATGTGAGCCTAAGGCTGTTTCTCAAGTCTCTAGCTGCCTTTTCTGCTTTATGTTTCTTTTCCTGAATACGGGTGCTTGAATAAAGATCCTGAGATAAATGTTTCTAGCCTTACATGTTATGTTACGTATTCAAGAGGTTGGGAGTTCCTGGGTCACTGACTGGTGACAGCAGGAGTTTTCTGCAGTCACACATTTCTTGAAGAAGACCACTACCAGAAGGATAAACCATGCCCTGGCTCAACAACCTTGAGTTACTATTCAAACAGTACAAAGTGATATGAAAATGAAATCTATTAAGTAGTCTCCCAAGTATCCCAGGAGTCTTTACCTCCTTAGAGAATATGATAGAATTGTTAGGCAATATATTTCTGTACCTGTTTATGAGTTTCTGTGAGTCCTTTGAATGCTTCCTGTATTTCTATTTTTGTTTATAAAATCTTGTGTCTTTTGTTAAGTATTTTATATTTTGTACGTATGTTTTAAGTATTTGTCATGTAATGTTATATGTATTTTGTGTTTTAAGCATTTCTTTTGTAGTGGAGGAAATAAATAGCTGTCCTATTTCTGATACCTAGTACTTAATACACTGAATACCTTTTCCACCAGAGACTGTGATAATAACTTCAGGAAGAACATAGACATGAGCCAAAGCTAAGCTTTAAATATCTATATATGTGTGTATATATATGTGTGTGTGTATATATATATATATATATATATATATATATATATGTATATACAGATATAGATAGATATATATTTTCCCCCCAGGGCTCTGGGGTGGTGCCACAATGAGCCAAAGCACATGATAGAAAAGAAAAAAAAAAGCCTGAATCTCCTCTGTTTAGAGTCAGCTTCCCATCAGGTCAGAAACTGATCCATGTGAGTCCTCAACTAGAACCCTTTTGTAGGCAGGGGGTATCCTGGGTCATAGGAAACATACAAAATGCATATAAAACAAACACAAGGTAGCCTTGTTGGGAGAGGAGGGAGGAGGCACTGGCAACTACAGACACCAATTAGTTGAAGAGTATACGGCTGGAGCCTTCTTGTAGGCAGGGGGCATCCTGGGCCACAAGCAACATATAACACCCCTTCTCCCCATACAAAACAGATACAAAGTAACTTTGTTGAAGGGGTAGAAGCCCCTGGCAACTAGAGACCCCAGGAAAAGCCACATACAGAAGATGACACTTGGAGTCTCAAAGAAACTCAGGGATTCTAAGAGGTAAAGATGGGGAGGGAATACATCACAAGCATGAGAAGCAGCTAATGCAAAGGCATGGAGAGGATTGATGGAGTATTGTGTTCAAGGAAAAGCAAGAAGACTGTACCATAGAGTTCATAGAGGGGAACAATGTGTGATAAGGTGGCATAGGGCTAGGTAGTGAGAAGCCTTAAATGCCAAATAGTGTTTCTATTATATCCTGGAGGTAATAAGGAACTGCTGGAGTTTGATTAACAGAGGGTAGAAAGATGGTGGTGGAGGCAGTATGTGGGGGAAGGGAGACTTGAACTTTAGGAAAATCTCTTCGTGGAAGATGGATGCATTGAGAGGCTATTGAAATAATTCAGGCAAGGGAAGATGAAGGTCAATACTAAAGTGATGGCTGTGTGAACTAAGAGAAGGGGATGGATTTGAGATATGTTACAGAGGTAGTAAGGACAAGATCTGGCAACTGAATAGATATGTGGAGTGAGTGAGAGTGAGGAGTTGAGGATAAAAACAGGATTGCAAATCTGAGCTACTGGAAAGATTTTGACAGAAATAGGGAAGGGGGTCACAATAGAGGTGGGTTGTTTATTTTGTTTTGGAGAAAGATTATAAGCTTTGTTTTAAACATGATGAATTTGAGATGCTTATGGGTCACACAATTTGAAATATGCAGTCGGCTGTTGATGATTGTGGGAATCAAGCTCAGGAGGGAGGCTAGGTCTGTATGTAGAGATCTGGAAGTCATTTGCATAAAAATGATCATTAAATTCAAGTTAACTGAGGAGATGAGAGTGAGAGAATGTGGACTGCAGAAAAGAGAAGAAGGCCCAGAACAGAACCTTGGGGCTACACCCAGTCATGATGATCCAGCAAAGGAGGCTGAGAATGAATGGTCAGACAAGTAGGAGGAGAATCAAGAGAGAGCAGTGTCTCCAAACCTAGAAAGGAAAGAGTATCCAGGAGGATGGGTGGTTGACTCGTGTGTAATAATAATATAAATATTTTATTATTCTTTTTTTTAATGTGGTCTAAAAATTCTCCCCTTAAATGCCTCTGTCACTGGGGCCTCTGTAAAATGAGGGGAATGGAACCTCTAACTTCCCTTTAAGCCCTGAGTCTGTGATTCCTCTTCTGACTAGAACATCCACCGGCCCCACAATTCATTCCTTTGCCTGCCCCTCTCCCTTCTGGGATATCCTTTAGCTCCTCCTCTGTCCCCTAAACCCCGCTCTCCTCTTTCACAACCCCTAACACCCACCTCTCCCCATGTGCACACCCATCTCCTTTCTCCCCTCAAACCTATCTCTTGCCACAGCTCCCCCCTCTTGCTCTTCCCCAAAACTCCCTCTCCTCCTCAGCACAAACCCTTATGCCCCTCTTCTAAGCCCACCTCCCCCAATCTCCAGCTCCCCTTCATCCCTTCAGCCCCCGCTCCCCGCCTCGTCGCGTTCCCCTCTACATGCAAACCCAGCAAGACCAGACAGGCAAGCTTCCCTGCAGCTCAGAGGCAGAGGGGCCCAGGACTCGCAGAGTTGGGACCGCGAGGACCAGGAGAATGCCCCGCCCCCTGCCCCGCCCCCTGCCCCGCCCCCCAGCACACCGATATCTTTGCCCTCACCTATCATGGCGGCCACTGCAGCTTAAGGGCTGGCGGCGGCGCTGGGCCTCCGTGACCTTTAACCTGCTGGCAGCGGGCGGAGAGGGGGGAGCCGCGGGCGCCGCCATATTGGCTGTTGTCCTGTCTGCGGGAGCGGCTGCGGTGGCGGCGGGAGCGGCGGCGGTGGCGGCGGGAGCGGCGGCGGCGGCGGCCCAGGGGCAGGCAGCATGACGCGGCGGCGGAACAAGCCAGGCGGCGGCGGCGGCGGCGGCGGGGGCGGCGGGGCCCGCAGGGAGCGGGCCGTGGGGCCGCCCCCGCCCCCGCCGCAGCCTGAACCGCCCTGCCCCGCCGCGGACGCGGGGCTCTCGGACGAGGCGGCGGCAGCGGGGCTGGGCGGCTGCGAGGAGCCCGTGCGTCCCGGGCCCGAGCCGGGGCAGGAGCCCGAGGCCGAGCCCGAGCCGGAGCCGGAGCCGGAGCCGGAGCAGGAGCCCGAGCCCGAGCAGCAGGAGGAGCCGGAGGAGCAGGAGGAGCAGGGCCCGGCACCTGAGGTACGCTCTGGAGCGGCCGCCGCGGGCGGGCTGGCGGGAGGGCGAGCGGGCGGGCGGGTCCCTCCCCTGCGGCCCCGCATCCCCGCCTGCAGGGCCGGCCGGGCAGGAGCGGGCAGCGCTCCCCTGCAGCTGGCCCGCCGCGGGCTCGGCCTCCTCCCCCGGGCAGGGCTGCAGGGGCGAAGCGGGCAGCGGTCCAGAGCCGGGGGGTCCTCCCTTGCCCCCTTCCCTGGCAGCTGCCCTGCGGAGGAGGAGGATGACCTTCCCTCTCCCCGGCGCTCCCTTTACACACACACCCCCTCCTCGGCCGCCGCTGTCTCGGGAGAGCCCGGCGGGGAGCGCGAGTGCCCCGGTGCATGGGTGCTCGCCTGGCTGCCCGCCCCTCCCTCCCTGGGAGATGCCCGAGAGAGGTCCAAGGGAGGATGACCTCCCCGGGCTGGGGGTGCACAGTCCCACACCCAGGGCCTTGGAAGCCAGCTGGCTTTGCATACACTCTCCCTGCCATCTGATCCTTGGATGGGGGTAGGGGGAAAAGGGAAGGAGGGAGCGGGAAGGAGTACCTCCCCCCTGCCTGAGTCCTCAGTCCCACACCCAGCTTCAGAAGGCCAGCTGGCTCTTCACTCATCCCCCTCTTTGGCAGCTGATCCTGGGGAAAGGGGGAAAAGGAGAATTGCTCCTCTGCTGCCAGTGCTTAAACCTAGGTCCAGGCCAGGGTCTAGGGTTCACCCTAGTGTTGAGGTGAATTGGCAAATCTTGGTCAGGGGAAGGTAGAAGATGATGCCCCCAAGAGAGTAGATGGAAGAGGATTTCACCTAGCAGCCAACCCCCTTGTCTGGAAACTGGAGTTGATGGGATGGGGGGAGTGAGGGAGGGAAGGAATGGGAGTTAAAGTTGTGCCTGTTGATCCAGTGTTGGGCCTGCCCCTTGACAGATGCTTTCAGGCAGAGGAGGTGAAGTTCAGGGGCATAGCACTGGGTACCTTGTCAGTGCCTTTTCAGGTATTTGGGAGGCTGCGCTGCCTGTGCTACAGATTCTCCAGGAGGGACTTGAGAATCACAGGGACAGGAGACTTCCCCTCGGCTTGTTTTAACAAAGAATTCTGGAATTAACCTTGTGGAAGAGAGGTAGGCTGCAATCCAAAGGAGACCTGGAGGGCTGTGTGCACTGGATGAGGTGGGATGGAAATACATTTTGTACTTAATGCAAGAAGCAAACATCTGTCAGCAGGAGAGTATCTGATGGCTCTGTGGACTCTTAGTGGGCCTGGGAGCAGGCAGAGTATGTGTCACCTTTGTTACTATAGCATAGAAAGAATCATTGGGATTATATTTGGGGGCTATTGAGAAGCCAAAGATAGCTATGAGCTGTTCTCCGAAACCCATTTATCATGTTGGCTTCTTTTAATTTTAAGATCATAAGCAGTTAAAACAATTTCTTTTCTTTGATTCTCTGCAGCTCCCCCAAGATAGTTTCATGGTGACAGGAAAGTATTTCTATAGAAATTCATTATGTATTTCAGGAGACTGAAGCCTTAGAATACCTGGTTCTTGCCAGATATTATTAGGGGATAGTTGCTTTGTAGTCGTCTTGGGAAATAAAATAAGAGTGTCCACTTCTCATGAACAGGTGAGAGTGTAGTAGTGGCCTTAGCTTCGAGTTATCACTTCTGGATTCCCAGATCGCCTGTTGATGATTTCAGCCTTGTTGCAGGTTGCTTAACCTTTCTCTGTCCCATAGTGTCCCACCTATCTTTCCACTTCTAAAAAATTAGCACATTGATATCACTGTTGCTCAGGGTGAGAGATGCACTATGTATAAAGTGATTGAGACCCTACCTAAGGCTTAATTGCCCTGCCTGTGGACAGAACATTGCCACACAAACGCATTGTGTGGTGCTAAAACTTCTCTTCTTTATGTGTGGTTTCTGCTGAGGCACAGAAGCCTAGTTTGGGGAGGCTGTTCTCTGATTAAAGCACACAGACAGACAAGTACTATCATTCACCTGCTTTTCTTACCTTCTCAGTTCTGTATACTGGGAATAAACAGGAGGCCTTTGCCTGGATATGTTAACCAGATGCTTTGTAATAGGACTAAATACATTAAACTCTCTGGCAAAAAATTTTTTTGAAAAGGGACAAGCAGTCTTTATAACTAGCTATTTACACTGAGTCCTCTCTGGGAGTGGAGGCAGAGGGATTGGTGGGGCCTCTGCCAAGATCACCTCACTCCTAAGACCCTTGTTAACATGTTCTTTTCAAATTACTGTGCCAGAAACTACTCTCAGCTTCCTGAAAGGTTGGCATGGGCCACTTTGGCTCCCTCAGCTTTGCACCCCAGGAATGCACTCAGTGAGACTTGTCAAGATGAGGATTGCAGGGCCATGAATCAGGAATTAGAAATGAGAAAAAGACTATTATTATTAGATCATCCTGGTCTTTCCCCACCCCCTTTCTCCTTGGGCCTCTGATCCCCTTGAGTATATCCTCCAGGGTTTTGCCCAGTCTAGTTTGAAATGACTCAAGAGACTAGGTTTTTCTTACTGTTCTAGATGAGACAATTCCCTCAACTCTCTTCTTATGCCATCCACATTCTCCCAGTAGTCAATATTATCTTGCTAGGTTTAAAACTATCACATTAATGTTTTTAAGACCCTTTGCATTGTTCTAAACTCCTTTCCATGGAGTGTCTTCCTTAGATTTGAGATTTTTCATCCAATTCTAACTTCCTTCTCAATTTTTGGACCAGATGACCAAAGAATCATAGAACTTTGAGCTAGAAGAGACCTTAGGAATGATCTAACATGACTGCCTTATTTTGTAGATGAGGAAACAGATCCAGAGAGAAGTGATTTGCCTTTGATGACATAGCTACTGAATGACCAGAATTCAAGAACTTGGTTCTTCTGATTTGAAATCCTTTGTTTTTTTCACTCTCTTATGCTGATGTTTAAGGTTATTTTGTGTATCATATGTCCAATATGTGTACACATATCAAATCATACTCTAGAGCAGGGGTGGGGAACTTGTGACCTTGAGGCCACATGTGGCCTTCTAGGTCCTTGGGTGTAGCCTTCGAGTTTGCAGAACAAATCCTTTAATTAAGGGGATTTGTTTAGTGAAGTTTAGATTCAGTCAAAGGGCCGTACTTGAGTATCTGGAGGGTCACATGGGGCCTCAAGGCCGTAGGTTTCCCACCCCTGCTGTAGAGGAACCCCTGAGGTTTTATATATGGAGGCTTATTTCTGTTCAGTTTCTATTTAGGATTTAATCTCCAGAACTTGAGGTCAGAGATACAAATTCCATTAACTTGCGTTTTACTAACAGTTTGCTCTTACCTGCACACTTCCCCCATCCCCCTCTCTGCCCCCAACGTAAAGAGCCTCAGAAGAAGCTGCACCATTTGCTGCTGCTGCTGCTTCTTTTTTTTTTTTTTTTTTTTTTTTGCTTTTTGGTGAGGCAGTCAGGGTTAAGTGACTTGCCCAGTGTCACACAGCTAGTGGTGTCAAGTGTCTGAGACTGGATTTGAACTGAGGTCCTCCTAACTGCAAGGCCGGAGCTTTGTCCTCTGTGCCACCTCACTTCCCCTGTACCATTTGCTTCTATGGGAAAGCATCTTTAAAATATTTTTCAAAAGATTAGCCTCCTGAAAGCAAGTTCCCACTTGGGAGCTGTTGCCTGTAAATAAATGGAAGCATTCTAGGCTCTAAGTGTCCCTCACCCACACCTAAGTGAAAGATTTCTTCTGGGTAGGGAATTGGTTATAGAAAGGCCAAGGAGCATTCCCATCTTGGGGAAAGAAGGGCTAGCTCAGTGTCCATGTCTCTTGTGTCTGATCGAGGTGAAGTGGAAATAATAACATAGAGCTCCCATTTTTAAAGTGTCTTCCATATACCAGCCTGTGAGGTAGTCTATTTAAGTGTCACCCCCATTTTAAAGATGCAGAAACTGTAGCTCTGAGCAGTGAAGTGACTTACTAGGGGGTATGCCAAAGTCAGGATTTAAACCTAGAGTTCTTCTGACTAGTCTAGCATGTATCACACTAGACTGCTATCTGGATTTGGAGTCAGAGTAAGTGGATTTAAATCCTGGAACTTAGTGCCTGTGTAATGTGAGGCAAGTAACTTACTTTAGCCTCTGTTTTCTTATTTGTCAAATAAAGGGGATTGGGACCAGGTGATCCTTGAGGTCCTTTTTGCTTTAGATTCCATGACCTTATTATTTTACTTTGAGTATAAGTACTCTGTCATCCTGCAAACTCTCTAAACAACTTTCCTCTTCCCCTCCCCCAGTTCTTATAGAACAATTGGTTGTTACTTATCAGTTAATTCTTACATCTTTCCTACTTAAAGCCCTTAGCATTCAAGTTCTCTATGTAATTTTTCCCTTCCTGGGCATTCTAGTCTTCATATGATCTTGGGAGGTGCCAAGTGTGCACCTTTCATAGCCAAAATATTCTTCATTTCCTTGGAAAATAGGAAACCCAAGATGTAGAGTGAGTATATGACTTGTTCATCCTTGGAGAGAACCAATGACATCAGGAGGGTGGTGTCTTGACTTGCAAGTGAATTGGATTTAAGTGAGGCAGGGCTGAGCAAAGTTTGGGAGCTAAGATGCATAACAGTGAATGTCTTTTTCATAGGTAGCTTTGGCTGCCAGTAAGTACTGGACTGGCAGCTCTTAAGTGAGGTTAACCCATTTCTTTTAAGGCTGAAATGCTCCCATGCTTGCCTAGGCATTATACTACAAAAGTATGATAGCAGTGGCTGTCTTTAGCTCAAATTATGTCAACACCCCTAAGGTTTCTTCCATAGTTGAAATTTACAGGTTTACCCAATCCTGCAACTAGCTGTGGAGATGGGGAACCTTCTTTAAACAAGTTTGGGCAGGTCTGTCTTCCCTTCTAGGAAGCTGTGTAATATTGATCATTGGAAGCCTGTTTGCTGGGTACTGGGATCAGGGGAACTGTTCTTTTTCACAAGCTCAAGTTGTCAGCTAATGAATTGGCAATGCACTTGCTGCAGATTCTCCACATGTTGACTTGTACTGAATTGTCCTGTCCCCTAGAGCTGATTTGGCAGCTTCAGTAGGAATGTTTGTTTGGCTTGTGTAGGCAGTTATGGGAAAAGGCTTAAGGGTGTTGAAGTTGATTTTTTTTTAGGATGTAGATCACTAATGGTTACAGTTTTCATTGAAAGAATTTAAATGTCCCAATACTTTAATCACTTTGGGGCTCAATACATCCCAGGTGCTAGAGCACCATGATACCCAGCAGTTTCATCTTGGTACCGAATATTTTTACCTAGTCTTACCTGAAGTTACAGAAGTACATTACATTTCATTTTTCTTTTTCATGTATGTTTGACTTTACTATCATGAGAAATTGAAAAAGAGTCTGTAACACTGGACAGTGTTAACTGCTGTGGACAGCGGGGGAAACCTTCCTGGTGGCTTCTCAGCAACCATTAAAACTATTTTAGCTTGGATTCTGCTCCCTATATATACCTCAGGAGATGGAAAGTGGTGGTGGGGGGAGGGATGGACATATATGGAAATATTCAGTCCAGATGTGTTGAGCTGTCTCTGGATTTTCAGAGTATAGAGGTATAGCTAGGTGGTGCAGTGGATAGAGCACTGGATCTGGAGACAGGAAGACCTGAGTTCAAACCCAGCTTTAGACACTTAACTAGGTGTGTGACCCTGAGCAAGTCAAATGGTTAACTTCTGTCTGCTTCAGTTTCCTTATCTATAAAATTAGGATAATAGTGGCACCCCCTTCCAGGGTTGTTATGAGGATCAAATGAAAATATTTGTAAAACACTTCTCAAAATTTAAAGCACTGGGTAAATGCTAGCTATCATCACTTTTTAAAATCCTTCTATAGATAGTCAGACTGATTTGAGTCTGAATTTGGGAACCATTATCTCATTGGATCACGTTTCTCTTTTATTACTTTTTCTTTAAAAACTGGACAATTGGGGGAGCTAGGTAGCTCAGTGGATAACGCTCTGGCCTTGGAGTTAGGAAGACCTGAGTTTAAATCCAGCCTCAGACACCTTACACTTATTGACTGTGTGACCTTGGGCAAGTCACTTAACCCCAATTGCCTCACCATAAATAAATAAACA